AAAAAAAAAAACACTTTTGATGCCATATATTTTAATTATTTCCAGTATATCCTTATAAAATTTTTTATTTATAGGTTATCTTTCCAAAGATTTTCAATTTATGAAAAATTCATCAATCATTGTCTTCAGTGAAAAACAAAACAAAGTGTTCTCTGGTAGTGAACGGAAAAAATCGAACAATTGTTCGCATCAAAATTATTATTATGTTTACGTTAAAAAAAAAATGATGACGACCAAAAGACTTTGGTTTAAAAAATAAAAATTTGAACTCAGTTCAAAAATCAAGACGAGGAATTATTTAGTTTTGCTTTAAGTATGATGACGACAGTGTCGTAGACTCTATCTATGAGAATATGGATTTTTATTCAAACATGTTATTTGCATCAAGACGAGGAATTAGTCTTCAAAAAATTGGTTTCGACAGTGTCGTAAATTTCTGAAAGAAAAATTAATTAAAATTCAAACATTTTGTTCATTTTTTTTGAATTAGTCTTGAAAAGTGTGATGTCGACAGTGTCGTTTATCTACGTTTTCTAGTAGAAAAAACGGTAAGTTCAAACAAGTTGTTTGAAGAAAAGTTGTAATCATAAATTTATGTTGAAATTTTAAATAGTTAAGATATTCCGGCCCGCATATGGGTTTATTTACGGAATTGAATGAGTCGACCTTCTATGCATATTGATAAATCAGGTTACGAAGTTTGTTCATGACGTCAGAGAAATGCTTATTTAACAAAACTATTTTTCCGTTCTTAGAAGGTATCAGGATTATAAGCAAATATTTGTTTTTTTAACAATTTTAGTCCGGTTTACTTCCAATGTTCTAAAAAAAAAAAGAAAGGAAGGGGGGAATTGTTTTTTTGAAATGCAATGGGTGCAATCTATGCATTGATTTTAGAATAATTAAAGAATAACGCACCCATTTCCGCCCAAAATATTTTTTTATTCTAGATTCTTAGATCTGAAATAATTGGTTAGTCTAGACATACCCATAAATATATTTTAATTTGAAATATGACCCCATATTAACTTATGTAAAGAGATAAAAAATTTTTTTTATAAATTTCCATTATAAATCATTTTTATCAATTTTCAAGTTTCTAATTATCGCCTGAAGAAAAAAAAAAATAGTACTGAAACATAAAGTTTTTTGTGTATTTTTTTTCCAATGATCTATATATATATATATATATAGATAGATAGATAGATTGTTGATAAGTAGATAGAGAGAAAGAGAGAGATTTAGAGAAAGAATGAGAGAGAAATTTGTCTTAAAAGGAGACCAGGTTTTTGACTATATCTAGAATCGTGTTTGTGTGTGTTTTCATTTTGCATTTGTTTCCTCTGTCCATTTTCTTTTTCTGTCGTTCCAGTCTCTTTTTATTTCCCTCTTTCCTTATCAATCATTCGATTACCTTTTCATCGATCCATTCTCACCCCCTCCCCCGACACCTCGTTGATTTACACATTTTTATACGAGATTTATTTCGTTCAGTCAATTTAAATCAAATCGCCCGACCAATCACAGTTGGGGCGCAAAACGCTCATTATGTCGCGGATCTATTTCCGTGCCTCTCCTGCTCAGTGACTGAGATAGATGTGTGCATCGATGATCGGGTGCCTACGGCAGTGTTTTGTCATCGTGAGAAACAACAGAGGGGCTGATTTCAAAAGGTCACTCAACTCACCAGTTACAATTTCTCATTATTTAGTATCCTTGGATAGGAAACACCCTACCACGCACAGACCAAAAACATATCACCGTTGATCACTATTACCTATTGCATTTCGCCTTCAACTGCTCCAGTTGTTTAAGAAACTCACTGAGCTTTTATCGTTCAAGATTCATATCTTTGGAAAAATCTCTGCCTTTTTCAAATCTAATCAAATGTCTCAAAGTGCACTATAAGAGCAATTGTATTCTGTTACTGGGTCATGGTTAGATTATAAATATATAATCAATTAAATTCGTAAAAAAATTTGATCTTCAAAAATCCTCAAACCAGATATATATTATATATATATATATATATATATATATATATATATATATATATATATTTTTTAATAGATATATATGTTTAAATTTTATACATTATCCGTTGTATATTTGTTTAAAATATATATATATATATTTTTATATTTCCATCATATAAATATATTTATATATATATATATATATATTTGTATTTACATCAAATCAAAATTTTTTTAAACATGGCACAATACACACATCACATATATATTTTATATATATATATATATATATATATATATATATATTTATAAATTATTGAAATTTAAAATATATATTATTTTCTCAACACAGTTCCACCATGTTTCAAAAATTTAATAAACCCAATAATTTTATTTTGCAAATAAATTAAAAGTCATTAGTTCTATTTCATCTTCAAATTAAAATTTTTCCTGTAACTTTTAAAATTTACCGGATTTAAATACACAGCTAAAATCATATTTTGGTTACAAATATTCTATAAATTGAACACTAAGGGTTAGATTTTCCTTATTTACAGTATCATTTATCAGTTATTAGCTACATTTTATATTTTTAAAAAAGGATGTATGTTTTACTAAACCTGACGTCTGTTTCATGGATGTCGTCTGAATTTAAAAAAAAAAAAAAAAAAAAAAAAATAACGGTAAAAAAGTTTGAATGTTCATTTTTTTTAAAAATTAAAATTTTTTTTTTTTTACTTTAAATTTTTAAAAATAACTGATTTGAAATAAATATTTTATTTTATTATATTTTCTTTTTAAGATTAGGGTTTTTATATATATTTTGAAACATGGTTTCAAAAATGTGAACCGAAATTTAATAACCATATTTATAAATCAACTAATTTATAATATTAATATAGAAATTTATTGAGCACTATTTTGAAAAAAAATAAAATATCTATAAGAACACGGATTTTTATATCTTACTGTTCTTTCTTTTTATTTGATATACATATATATATATATATATATATATATATATATATATAAAAGGTCAAACAAATAAAATCCATGTTTATAATTTATAGAATTGGTAGGTCTGATGAAAATGGATCGTTTTTATATTCCAATGTAATAAATTATAACCATGGAATATGAGTGTTTGAAAAATTTTTGATTCTTATTCCGAATTCCATCCTGACATTGAGTTCTACCTGGATTCTTTTAAAAAAATTTATATATATTTATATATATATATATATATATATATATATATATATATATATATATATATTACTAAACTATTTCCCAACTTAAGCAAATACTGATTTCAATGACGTCACCATTAAGAAGATTAGTGTAGCATTATCTTTTAGCCTTACGTTATTTTCTGCCCATCCTGGGTTTGACGATAAACTACATCCGGGTCCTGTTAGGCGATAAACTACATCCAACAGCAAGGCCTCTGATCAGGAGGTTTGAGGAGCACGGAACCACCTCTTAATTTCAGGTGTTCCCAGGCGCACCCTGACCCGGGGTCGTGGCATCTGTTAGCGTCTAACTGGGGTTAAAACATAAGGAAAGTGTACAAATAGTTTTTAATACCTGCAATAATCTTATTTTAAATTATTACGGGCAATACATTTTTGATGAAAAAAAAACAGCAATATATTATTATCAGCAATACATTTTTTAAGGAAAAAATATTACCAGCAATATATTTTTGAAGAAAAAAAATATTACCAGCAATACATATTTGTAGAAAAAATATATTAGCAGCAATACATATTTGTAGAAAAAATATATTAGCAGCAATACATTTTTTGGAAAAAAAATATTACCAGTAATAAAAATCTTGTCGGTATTAAATAACCCAGTGAGGTTGATATACCGTAAAACAAAATAAGCCAAACCAAACATATTCTATGCTCATATTATTAAAAGTCGGATATAAACTTCCTAAAGAATCCGTCATTCAAAAGCTTTTGCACCAAACTAATTTAGCAATGTCGGTAATTTCATTCATCATGAACTTTTTCCTAATCTTTTCTACAATATCATAAGTCTCTTTTTATCGTCTGAGTTGTTCCTCTGCCTATAGTTCAATTAGTACTTGAAAGAGACTAAATCAGCTTTATTTCAGTAATTATACACTTTATTGCTAACTGGAAAACTGATAGAAAAACCAGAATAAAAATGTTTCGTAAACCGGCAGACATACAAGTTAGTGAACTTATTAACCTCTGGCTAATAAGTTGATTGGTCCTGAAGATAACTTTCAGATGTATCAGACCATATTATGCGTATGGGCATGCACAGACGCAAAGAGAAAGAAATATACGCACAAAGCCTAGATATATCCATTCTCTTAAGGTGTATGTTATCGGCGATTCTATTTCTTCTCTTTTCTTTCGAAATGGTAGGAATCAGTCTTCCTGAAACTAACACTTAAATAGGAAGACAATCTGGTTTTCTTACCTTGGTTCGCAAACTGTTCTTGGAAAAAAGCAAATTCTGAATTCAAAACATGTCTTCAGAGAAATTCTTTGAGGTCAAGAATGCACGCGCTCAATTCGATGGAAATACATCAGAATCGTTGAAAGTGAAGAGTAGCTTTAAACAGGCTTGTGTCCTGGAACCCACTCTCTTTGCCATTTATTTTGCTGATTTCCTGCAACATGATTTTGATGGAAGCGAGGATGGTGTTTACCTTAAAACAAAGTTCGATGGATCTCTTTTCAATCTGAAAAGACTGAAGTCGAAAAGACGGACGACTGAAGTGTTGATTAGAGAATTACTTTTCACTGATGATGCTACGATAGCGGCGCAAAGTAAAATCGAACTACAATGCCTAACCGATCGCATAGCGGAACCATGCGTCCTCTTCGGGTTGACAGTTAGCGTCAAGAAAACAGAGGTAATGAGACAAAATTTGGTGGTGAATCTCTGAAAACAGTAGATAAGTTTGTTTACTTGGGATCCCCATAACATCGACCCTGTCTATGGATGAAGAATTGACAAGCAGAACGAATAAGGCCACAACTGCATTCAAGAAACTTATGAAAGGAGAATGGTAAAATCAGGATAAGGACCAAGTCTCTAACATGTGTCATCTCAATCCTTCTTTACGGGAGTGAGACGTGGACTTTGTATGCTGGTCTGGAGAGAAGGTTAAATAGTTTGCACATGAGATGTTTAAGAAATATTTTAAAAAATTAAATGGCAAAATAGGGTCCCAGAAACAAAAGAGCACAAAAGATCTGGCATTCATTCACGAGATCTCATCCGCCGTTATCAGTGGTGCCTTGAACACGTTGCGCGTATAGATAATTCCAGAATTCCAAAAACAGATACTATATGTGGAAATGTCTGAGAGCGCGTACAACGTTGGACGACCCAAGCTTCGCTTCAAAGACTAGTTTAAAATACACTATTTACATTATTCGGACTATTGTCCTCATCTTTGTCGCCATATTTATTACAACGTTTCGGCGTTGTACGCTCCGCCTTCTTCAGTTGGTTGGAATGTCGAACTGAACCCGTTATTTCGCTCACTGGGAGTAGACTTTTCTAGTTCCACGTACTATGTTTAATGGATGTCAATTATGAGTTATCTCCTGTTAATTCCCCTCTCCAAGTTCTCCACTGCCTTAACCGGGTATTGAACTCACACTCTTTGGGTCCTGTCACTGGATCTAACCAATCCCTTTAACCACTGCCGATAACACATTGGTTGCTTTAGGAAGGATCAGACGAACACAAGAGCTCTTGATCTATCTGCTGGAACCGATCTGCTTGTTTTTGCCCAATTTTGAATCTTATATCAAAACTATTTTTTTAATTATTTCACCTCAACCAAGGTGATAAAGCCACTAAGTTGCAAATAGTTTACTGAGAATGAAAGACAACAGTGTGAAGGAAAGGGAGAAAACGTTAACAGTTGCCCGGGATATCTTTATGTGGAGAGCTGCTGTTTTCACGGGAACAAAGAGCTATGAAGAGAGTCCAGCGCGCCGTAGAGGCTAGACAAATGCGCAAATGCCTCACAGTGGATGACTCCACGGTATTCTACTAATTTGATCGTTGTCAAAAACCGTTCATTGTCTGTTTTAGCGATAACCTATTTTCCGCGCTACTGACCATCGACGAAAAAGTCATATTTACAGTAGCTTTTTGGTTAGGTCATGCGATGTTTTCGTCTATCCTTCAGTATGTCCTGTGAGAGTCGAATTCTTCAAGCTCCTGTCCTCATCATACCTCCGAAAATATTTAACAGGGATTCTAAATATAAAGGTCTTTTTAGTTGCCATTTTTCTTAAAAAATTCCTCTTTACTCACATGTTCCCTTCTTAGTGTTCTCAGAGCCATTCGGTAGAACCGCAAATCTATTCTACATCAGCGAGGAAATTGTCCAGAATTCATTGTCGTATGAGAAGATGGAGAGCATTATTGGGATTTACTAAAGGCAGCCAGGTACGGCATTAAAAGACAGATATGTACCACCTGGTGAGAATCGAAATCTCAACACAAAAATGATATTCTGCGAGACTAAAATGCAACTGTTATGGTTCTTAACCTAAGTAGAATTTGAAGAAAAGAACAGTAGCCACTGGAATCACAGATTGGCAGATTAAAACCTTTCTGATTTTGCACTTTTTAAAAAGCTATAATTCTAGCGGCCAGTTTGGCTTAACTATGGACTGAACAAGTATAAGGATAACATGACTAGAAGTACCAGTGACAATTTCAAGTTTTTCCTATTTAAGTAATTTGATGAATCTTAAACGCAAATCTATCTTTTTTTTTCTGGCTATGGGTTGAACAGAGTGGATCCTATAGCCTTGATTGGCAACCAGTCTACTACAGAAAGAAACGGCAACCTACTGCAGGAAAATCTTCTGCCTAGTCAGTCATGGATCGAAAAAGACATGATCGCCCAAGCGTGTATCACGAGTAGTACTTAACTGTCTTTACTCTTCTCCCCCTAGCTATGGGTTGAATAGCAGGACAGATTCTTATAGCCTTGGATGGCAACCAGCCTACCAGTCAGTCATGAATCTAAAGAGACATGATCGCCCAAGTGGGTATCATATATGGCACTAAACTGGTTGCATCAGCTCAATGCACAATAGACAATAACACGTTTATAAGTCTAAAATTTATTTAATTTTATAAAACAGCTGAAATGTCTGCGACACCAAACACGTGAAGAAGGTTTAGATGATTTAATACTGTCAGGATATATCGAATGTAACCCCGAGTCAACAAATTCAATCAGCGAGAGTCAATTTTCTTCAGATTTCCTTTTACTCACTTTATATTCAGATCGTGGGGTGACATAGCAAGCATCTTTTTGGGGGCGAATCTAGAGCGAGGAGACAGAACGGATGCCAAACAGTCCGTCAGCTACCCATCCTCTCCTCGTGAGTGGCTTGTCTTTTTGCTGAAACCTCGAGCCCCTAAAGGAATCTGGGAGAGGAAGGCTCAGACGAACACAAGAGCTCTTGATCTCTCAACTACGGGTTACGGAGAATGAAAGAAAATAGAGTGAAGGAAAGTAAAAAAACGTTACTGAGAATAAAATTCGATAAAAAGAAGAGGATTCAAGAAAACAGATGACGGCGATTGACGTTCAATTTAATTTTTGGAAGATCGTAGTTGACAGGAAAGCAAGAAGCTAAACGTTAGTCCCATAAGCGAGAAGTGTGAGAGAAAAACTATTAGAATAAAGCTTGGGGACAACATCAATATCAGGATTCCACACTCACGAGCCTCGACATACTTGCTCTTAGTTTGGTTCGTCAAAATTCTAACCATTTATGGCAAAGGGTCTCAAATGACTTTCACACCAATTATCATTTTAACATTTTCTGTCTGGCCAATGCCTTCAGTAACAAAAAGCAGCAGCAGTTGTTAAACAGATTTCAAATCTATTTTCTACATGTAAAACAGATATCGGAAACATGGAACTTTGTACCCCCCTCCAAAAAAAAAACGGACTATCAAAAGAGTGTTTTTTTCCCATGACACCGCTTTTTAAGTATTTTCACCCTTCGACAATGTTTATCATTTTAAAAATCGATTATTAGAATTGTAATAAAACTTAAACATGTTATAAGAGTGAAATTATACATTTTTGTCCTTGAGAATTTACAACAAAAACATTAAACACTATTTATTTTATTGTCCATTTACAAGAATACTTTTATATTTACAACATTCTAAAAACTAATACAATTGTATTAAAACCAATGCAATGTAATATTTATTATTTAGCAATTTCTAAATAAATAAATATGAAAAGATTTTTATTTATAAATTTTACTAAATTATTAAAATATGAACCAACTGTAAAAAATCCAAATTCTTTCAGTCAGTTATGTACCATGAATGATACCCGCTTAGTCGATCATGTATCTTTCGATACATGACTGACGAGGCAGATTTTTTCCCGCAGTCGTTTGCCATTTCTTTCTGTGGTAAACCAGTTGCCATCCAAGGCTATAGAACCCGGTCTGTCCTACTATTTACTCATAGCTTGGGGAAGAAGAAGAGAATCCATACCTTTCTCAAGGTATTAGCACGTAAGTCAATCTAATGGATTCGACTGGAATTCGAACTCGGCTCTACTGATTACTTCAACGTGCCTCCTTCAGTCAGTTATGTACCATGAATGATACACGCTTACGCGATCATGTATCTTTCGATACATGACTGACGAGGTAGATTTTTTTCCCGCCGTAGATTGCTATTTCTTTCTGCAGTAGACCAGCTGCCATCCAAGGTCATAGAACACGGTCTGTCCTGCTATTTACCCATAGCTAAAAGGGGGAAAAGAAGAGGTTTCATACCTTTTTCAATACCATTTTATGAAGAAATATAGTTTTAAGATGTGCCATATTTATGGGATAAAGTGCTCAATATCAGAGACAGAGCGTATGTAAATATAAAAGTGAACATAGAATTCAACACTTAGAGGCGACAGTCTGTTTCATGCTAGATGCAATCGTCAGGCCACGAGTGCTGTTATTTTTCTCGGCTATTTATATATATACGGGTCAGTGGTGCATTGTGGGTAGTCTATTTTGGCGGTTATTTTACCGGAAGTCGTTTATTTGTTTACTTATTTATTTGGATTAAATTATTTTGCTTGTTTTTATTTATTTTTATTTTTTATTTTATTTCTTATCTTATATATTTATTTTTTAATTTTTTAAGCGGTGTTTTTATTAAGGTGGTAAAAATTTGTTTATATCGCTTATTTAATAGTTTTGTTTTGGTTTGAGAATATAATTAAAGCTATTTATTCAATTTTGGGGTTGATTGCTGTAGTTTATTCTAACTATTATTCGGCGGGAACAGTTTTTAACTTGTTTATTACTTCATGTATTTATTTGGATTGATTATCTTTAGAGAAAAAAACAGCACTCGTGGCCTGACGATTGCATCTAGCATGAAACAGACTGTCGCCTCTAAGTGTTGACTTCTATGTTCACTTTTATATTTATATATCAATACCATTTTATAACGTTTGAATCGATTAGCAATTAGCGGATGTTTTGCAAACTATTCCAATAAATAATATCATGTAAATATTCTGTCTGATAAATAAATGTTGTTGATTAATATATAAATTCACTTTCATATGTTTATATTTTATTACAATTCTAAACATTTCCGATGAATAGAGGGACTTAAAATAAAAGCGGTGTAATAGGAAAAATTGTCCCTTTTAACTGTACTTTATTTTGTGGATACGGATGTCCGTATTTATCAAGATCTGAGTGAGTTAAATCATAACTGAATGTTCTAATTTCCATTTTACGTGAAAGGTTCTAATATATTCATTTTAACCCAACTTTTCAAACTGCCAATTTTTCAAGTTGTATATCATTATCATTATAAATTATACTAACATCATCATGTGAACATCTCTCAAACCAAAAGTAGTAATGATGCATTGCTCTTGGAGAGGTAAAATTTCTGTCATGTCTGAGGAGTGCAGATGTATTTCCCCGCTGGCGGGAAAGTTATTCTCTTGA